AGGGGGGTGCGCCCCCCCCCCCCCCCCCCCCCCCGACCCCACCCCACCCAAATCTGCCAGTGCCGGTCTTTTTAATTGATTGGTAGAATTCATACAATATCTGGACTGTATGGACCTTTTATTATGAAATCTTCATGTACCTAGATCAATTTTTATCCAGAGCAGTCCTTTTCCAGGCAAAAAGGGTGGTATGTTGGAACCCAAGAACCCCACCTTGTTATAAGCCTGTGTTAGAAACAGTAAAAATATTTAAAATGTGAGATTTTAGAAAGTTGCATAATTACCGTAAAAATCAATGGAACTTTTTAACTGTGTTATAGCTCTTAGACTAAATTCAAAATATGTTATATGATTTTAATATATATTTATTTTGTTTGTGCCCTGTATTCCTTTATTTTGTTTTGTTTTCAGCAATGATCAGTTACAATGTCATCATAGGTGATACAATAACTAAGGTCATGCTCAGGTTTTTTGGATGTAAGTTTTTTTTTTTAATTTTTATTATTAGTAACTTTCATGTATGAAACTGAGTAACTAGAAATCACACAATTAGTAAATTAAATTAGATATTAGTCTCCATTAGCTTGCCCTTGATTATCATTTTATGCATATAAATCAACGTTAAATTTGTATATTATAAATATGCAATGTAAATTAGGGTTTTATTTCTTCTTCTTATTATTATTTTTTATTATTATTTTTTTATTTTTATTTTTTTGCATTATGTCTTTTTTCACATGTCATTAAAAGTTAATATAATTTCTGTAATTATGAAAATTAATCAATCCAACTTTATTGAAATATTCTAATATTTAGATAAAAAAGGTAACTAGTATTTTGTTTCTTTCAGATTACATTTCTGGCACAATAGTGGGAACACGGCATTTTGTCATCGTTGTGGTTACCTTACTTGTATTGCTACCAGTGTCTTTATATAGGGATATAGCTAAACTGGCTGTGGTAAGATAAATATAACAAATATAGTACAGACCAAATGTAGTATAAACCAATGTTGCAAATAACTTTGTGACACATGATATAAGACTCACACCGGGGATTAGACCTTCGTATTAGTATATATTTTTAATTTCCCAGAAAATTTAAACACTTTTCATTTATCACCAAAGTATATGATATGCAATACTGTTTACAGTGCCACTATAAGCACTTGTACGCTCATTGTAGCTTTTCAAGATATTGATTCAGTGATTCTATTTTTGTGTAATTCACAATTAATGTATGTTTTTTCTAAACATTTTCAGGCTTCACTGACAGCCATGGCATTTGTAGTATTTATTTTAGTGGCTATGATTATTCGTATAGATATGAGCAGTGATATGTAAGTTTACACTAACTATAATTATTTAATGACTTTCCCTCTTTCAATCCAAACTCCCAGAAATGCTTCAGTCTGTTATGATAATAAGTTCATATGATTTTATTCTAAATATAAATCATTTTCCAAAGTGACTTGTCTTTTTACCTAATAGAATGGACTTGATGGTTTACTTTTTACCAGCACTACACAAGAGACAACAAAAATCTATTTCACTGCATATCAGTGTTGATATTCATGTTGATTGGTATATTTAACCATGATGCTAACTACATTACAGCCCAATAACAGAAGATTCTTGGCAGTTTGCAAACTATAATTTCACTCAAGCTATAGGTGTCATGGCCTTTGGTAAGTTCACAGAGAACTAGCTTGTAGTGGGACCACTACACTGTACAAATCATCACACTAGGGTTCTAATTAATGTGCTTTTTTTCTCCATATTATATTACTGAAATTTGAATTGTTTCCAAAAGAGTTGTACTTTTTTATAAGTCTTTTATATTATTTCCTGATTAAGGTTAATATAGTTAAAAGTTGTGCAACTTTAAGACAAACATTTAATAACACACAGCTAGGTATTCATCAGATTTTTCTCTCTTGTATGGAACATATGCAATAGCAGTAATAGCAATAACTCTTTTTTTGTTGATTTCTTTACTTCTAGCATATATGTGTCTTCACAATTCTTTCCTCATCTACGATTCACTGGAGGATCCCACGTGGCACAAATGGCACATTGTGACCCACGCCAGCATGCTGACCTCCATGGTTCTCATGGTGATACTGGGCATTGTGGGATATGCTACTTTTACCTCGTTCACGCAGGGTTTGTATTCTTATGTATATTATAATTATTATTCCATGGTGATACTGGGCATTGTGGGATATGCTACTTTTACCTCGTTCACGCAGGGTTTGTATTCTTATGTATATCATTACGATAAATTGTATATTTCATTCCTGAAAAAAAAACATTTATTTAAGATAATTGGAAGACTGTGATGGACTTTTTATTCAATGGTGTTGAGGTTTAAATCCGACAGCGTGGTCATATTAATGACATCAGAAAGATGACTGGATAGCTTGTTATGTTTTTCAGCCATTTTAAATTTTCCAAAAAGGAAATATTATGATAATTAAGGTAAACCTTTTCACCATTAAAAAAAAACAAAAAAATCTTCTTATATCATTAGTACCAACAGCGTGTACGCTGGCGGTACTCATGGTTTTAGTCCAGACCCGTCTCATACAGTTCCGCCGGCTCATGCGGCTCCTGCGGCTCCTGCAGCTCCACAGGATGGCGTGGGATACAAGTCACCGTTACCGCTTCTCTTCCTAGACCGCAAGGACCTGTGTCCCCATCTCTTGGATTTAGGTCACATATAATCTCAGCTTGAACACCCTGGTTTTTTGTGTCAGTGGGTGCATTGGCCTGGGCGTGACGCTTGTTGAAACGCACCCTTGTCAAAATTTTTGAAAATTCAATGCTAAATATCTCTTAAACTGAAGGAATTATTGGAAAAATTTCAACAGACGGCTGACCGAAAGTCATATGTGGAGATTTCAAATATGCCCTTGGATTTGACCTTTGACCTTTATTTCAAGGTCAGATGGGCCAGAATTTTCTAAAAATGGGAATTTTTTGCGAAAAATTTTTATTTCTGCCGATTTTCAGAAATTACTCAGATTTAACCAACAATATTATGGGAAGGTGTAATCCTTAGGGTTATCTTTCATCTTCGTGAGTTTCGGGTCAGTCAGTGCATTTTCATGGGAGAAGTGGCCATTAGATGCTGAAACGGAAAACTCTTTCTAATTCTCTTTCTAATGCTAGAGACCTCATGTTTTTTTGCATTTTGTAGAGCTTGTCAAGTGCAACACCGAAGGTGGTTTCCCTTTTTTGTTTTCGATACGGCTTAGGCGTTGTGCTTTATCAAAACATTCAACATCCAATATTCAGTGGTGAAAATAAAATGTGAAATACCCCAAAATTAGCAGAGATATGTCCATAGTTACTATTGAACTTGAATAGGAAGTCATATACTGGTAATCTATCTGTGACCTTGAAATTGACCTTTGACCTGCTTTTCATGATGAACTGCACTTTGCAAATTTTGCAGCCCTTATATCTCTAGAACTGGTAGATATATGCCCATAGCTACTGTTGAACTTGAGTAGGAAGTCATATATTGGCAATCTTACTGTGACCTTGAAATTTACCTTTGACCTACTTTTAACCATGAACTGAACTTTGAAAATTTTCTTTCCCTTATATCGAAAACTGGCAGAGATACGCCCATAGTTACTTCTGAACTTAAATAGGAAGTCATATACTAGCAATCTAACTGTGACCTTGAAATTGACCTTTGACCTACTTTTTATCATGAATTGAACTTTGCAAATTTTGGTTCCCTTTTATCTCCAAAATTGGCAAAGAAATACCCATAGTTACTATTGAACCTGAATAGGAAGTCATAAACCTTGAAATTGACCTTTGACCTACTTTTTCATCATGAACTGAATTTTGCATATTTTCTTGCCCCTCTTACCTTCAAAACAAGCAGAGATATGCCCAGTGTTGCCCCTAGCTTTTTTTCTTTTGTCACCATATATACAACACTGATAACACATTTCAAGGAAAACCAACAGGCCTATTGTCTGGAAAATCACAGGAGTGATCAATGTTAGGAAAATACAGGTCAATTGGAAAAACCTTTGGATTGGACCATTTTTACAGTTATGTTCTTTTTGCATTTTGCATATTTTGAGAACTCTTGTTTGTTGCATTAGAGCTTGTCAAGCACAAGACTGATAGTGGTGTCCCTTTTTTTTTTTTTTTTTTTTGGTTTTCCATCCGAATGGGCTTACTCCAGCTGGTGGTACAATATCCGGAGGCGGTATCGCCTCTCTGATCCTCTAGTTTATGTTTATTTTTAAACTAAACATTTTTTACTGTGAATAACGACCTAATGATGACTTCTTGTTCAAGGTGATGTCCTAGAAAATTACTGTGAGAAAGACGACCTGATCAATGCGGCCAGGTTGGCATTTGCGGTCACCATTATGTTGACGTATCCTGTGGAGTGCTTTGTGACCAGAGAGGTGAGAATGAGGTCCACACCAATGTATTACGTGGTGTGATGATAGATACTACATGTAGTATAACTTACACTCTGGCACTTATGTTTCGATTTTAATTCTTTAAAAAGAAAAAAACAGTTCATATATAAGACACACTAGATTTGATTTAAAATCGCCAGTTTTATACTATTCTATGTAGAAAACTCATAATCCAGGGGGGGTGGTCACAGCCTCGATCCGCCCGACCCCCCTTCCCCCACGGATGCATGCACCTTAATCTTCATATCTGAAAAAATATTACAAGCAAGAAATGACAAAAGTTTTCACATCGGTGGTAAATATATCTCATATAAATATATATAGCCCCCATTTGCTATTTGATATTTATGTTTCACTTTCAAATTGATCTTTGTTGTCATTGTGACCACCCTTCTCCCCTTTAGATCACCAGACTTATTCTGTATAATTTATTTATTTTGTATTTACTATAATAATAATAATCATTGTTTATTTATTTATTTATTCCAGGTGTTGGAGCATTCAGTATTTGCCCACTATCAGCCAAGAACATTGTGGAGACACTCCCTGGTCACTGTTATCATTGTCTGCCTTGCTATGGGATTCTCCATGGCAACAGACTGCCTAGGGGTGGTTTTAGAATTAAATGTAAGTGCTTTCTTCTTAATGTCCAGTAAAGGCAGAATTCTGTGTTTTTTCACAATCATTTTTATTCTAACAGCTAAAATGTACAGATATCCACTGCAGATATCCAGATATCCACTGCAATTTATAGGAAAATTCTACAGAAAATTTGTCTTCCATTAGTGATTACATTTCAGTTAAATTTATACTCATGTGGACAAATGGGAAAATCTAATCCATAGGGATTTTCTAAGAATAGAACATTTATTTTCCTAAAATATATATTTCAGGGGGTGCTAGCAGCTGCTCCACTTGCCTTCATCATCCCCCCTGCATGTGTTATGAAGCTCCAACATGAGCCAGTTCTTTGTATTAAGAACATCCCCATGTTACTGACCACAACTTTCGGGATATTTGTCATGGGCACTGGGACAGCGATGGTCATCAAGGAAATGGTCAACGGGTACAGCTGTAGCCATGGAGAAAAGTTGGCCTACTGCCAGGCAGAAAATATGACTGGTTTATTTACAAATCAGAGTGTATTAACTACAACATTGAGAGTATAGTGAAGATTACAATATTTTTGCAAAATCACCAGTACAGCCAAACTCTGTTTTTATTGTGATGAAAGGGTATTTTATTTTCTGTTTAAAGTAAAAGTAATTTGTGCCTGTCACATTATATTTTTATCATTTTATTTTTCAGTTTTTATAACAGTCCTTAGCCATTCAAATTTATGTAAACTGTACTGTAGTAAAAGAAGGATTTATTTTGATATGAACTCTGTACCATTTCAAATTATATGTAAGTAGGTGCTTGTCAAAAGCAGTGGGGGATACATATTAACCAATAACAGAAAAAAGAACTTGGACTATTGCCAATACACAAAACATGCCGAACACTCTGAATTGTCCTGGAAACCGCACCACAATACAAGACAACAATCTTACAAGTTGTCTGCTGTGTTAGAATCTTAAGTTCATATAACATAGGTGAACTCCATCCGTATGATGCAAGATATTTCTTCTCTAACATTAATTCTTTTACCCTTATTCTTGCTGGAAGATGTGTTTTTTTAGGGGGCGCTATACTCTATACAGTTTTAACTTTATGTAAATTATTTATTGTACATTGCGCTGTACTCTCTAGAATCTATATATTTTAAGTTAGATAAATGAAGGAATGATCCTTTTTTTTTAAAGGAATGAATGGGTAACAGTGAATGACAGAAGTACTGCTATGACTGTTACATTTTACAGTTTATCCTTTTCTTGAAAACTCAAGCAACATCAATGCTGAAAAGATTAATTGAAACATGTATTTTGTTTGAGCAAACATAATGAGAGAATAAAGATTTTGAGATGTTCAACCTGCCATAAGTCTCTTTGTCTGACAAAAGGTATACAAAGTTGAAAAAATAATATTATTTTATTATCAATAATTTTTATTGAACACGAGCTCCTTTTACAGGAATAATTTATATTATCAGAAAAAATATCCCCCAGTTCTGTAAAACTATAAGGGTAAAATATGCAGTTAACAGACAGGTATACTGTACTAACATTATACTGATTTATAAAGATATAATATAATTCTTATCAAATATATTCATGATATAGTTGATGTCTTTGCACAATTGAATAAAAGCCAAGACCAGTACTCTAAAAACAAGTTGACAACATCTTTACAATGTCAAATTTAAAATATATGACAGAATAGGGCATGGGCAACCCTCCAATATTAATAATACCCTCTACAGTGATAGTAAAATATATGACAGAATAGGACATGGGCAATCCTCCAATATTAATAATACCCTCTACAGTGATAGTAAAATATATGACAGAATAGGACATGGGCAATCCTCCAATATATATGATACCCTCTACAGTGATAGTAAAATATATGGCAGAATAGGGCATGGGAAATCCTCCAATATTAATGATACCCTCTACAGTGATAGTAAAATATATGACAGAATAGGGCATGGGCAATCCTCTAATATTAATAATACCCTCTACAGTGATAGTAAAATGTATAACAGAACAGGGCATGGCCAATCCTCCAATTCTAATAATAGCCTCTACAGTGATAGTATATATACATGTAAAAATAGTTTTTGCAACACCCAATCACTGTTTAATATTATCAATGTCACCTCATTTTGCCCTTAAAAACGATGTCTGAACCCTATCTCAAGCCCAGATTAAAAAAATACAATAAAGGGTGAAATACAATGACTCTGTGCAATAAGCCTTAGATAATATTACAACAATATAATGCAATACAACAGAGACGCTTTTCTTTACATATACTTGGAGTACACCCTATGACACCTCAATACAACTCACTTAAGCTTTACTTCCACACTCAGCCAAAATGAGAGCTGTGACAAAATGGCTCAACACATGCAATTAAAATCCTGAAACTTTGTCACTAAATTTAAATAAAAAATACATATCTGCTCCATTGGCAAATAATGGACATATATGACTAATAAATTTCTGACCTAATGAACTGCTAAAACCTGTTATGGATCGATGATACCGTATTTACATAATATAATATTATATAACATAAACTGATGATGCAAGATTAATGAATTACTAATATATGAACCAAGAGATGAATATACAATATCAAAACTTGTACACTATGTTACAATAAAGGTACTGACAGATTATACACAAACATAGTATAATAATGGGGTTATATACATAGAAACTTCTTCCAATGTAACTTCTTAAAAACGTCTATGAAATCGCGCTCTTCGGTCTTAATAAATGATATCTCTCAGTACGTAACTGTATTTACTAGAGAAGAAATAAAGATCAGTGTTTACACAGCATTGAAATACTTTGGCACCATGGTTATTTAAATTAACACAATCAATGACTGGAGATATCCAGTATCCATCATAACATCACCAGGTTTGAAAGTGTTAAAAGTTAAAATGCAGGAAACATACAACAAAAATATATAACAGAAGCTCCCATTTGCATAAACACTGCACGGAAACAACGGCACGCAAGAATTTTTCATCGTCCTCCTTATACTGCCGATGTAAGACAATACATGTACAGTACCTCTCAAGTGTGTCTCTGCCTCCAGAACTAGGAGTTGTCCTGGGTTTATATTTACAAACCAAGATAATCCATAACAGCACTGATTGGAAACACATTACACAATATATACAATGTATGTCACTGTCATATTATATTACATACTGATCAAATAAGTGTTCATCATCATCCATGGAATTGGATATCTGCTGTAGTAGTGGTCACCAGACAGTAATGATCCAATAAGACATAGTGTTATCAATGTCATCATCCATGGAATTGGATATCTGCTGTAGTAGTGGGTCACAGTCACCAGACAGTAATGATCCAATAAGACATAGTGTTATCAATGTCATCATCCATGGAATTGGATATCTGCTGTAGTAGTGGGTCACAGTCACCAGACAGTAATGATCCAATAAGACATAGTGTTATCAATGTCATCATCCATGGAATTGGATATCTGCTGTAGTAGTGGGTCACAGTCACCAGACAGTAATGATCCAATAAGACATAGTGTTATCAATGTCATCATCCATGGAATTGGATATCTGCTGTAGTAGTGGGTCACAGTCACCAGACAGTAATGATCCAATAAGACATAGTGTTATCAATGTCATCATCCATGGAATTGGATATCTGCTGTAGTAGTGGGTCACAGTCACCAGACAGTAATGATCCAATAAGACATAGTGTTATCAATGTCATCATCCATGGAATTGGATATCTGCTGTAGTAGTGGGTCACAGTCACCAGACAGTAATGATCCAATAAGACATAGTGTTATCAATGTCATCATCCATGGAATTGGATATCTGCTGTAGTAGTGGGTCACAGTCACCAGACAGTAATGATCCAATAAGACATAGTGTTATCAATGTCATCATCCATGGAATTGGATATCTGCTGTAGTAGTGGGTCACAGTCACCAGACAGTAATGATCCAATAAGACATAGTGTTATCAATGTCATCATCCATGGAATTGGATATCTGCTGTAGTAGTGGGTCACAGTCACCAGACAGTAATGATCCAATAAGACATAGTGTTATCAATGTCATCATCCATGGAATTGGATATCTGCTGTAGTAGTGGGTCACAGTCACCAGACAGTAATGATCCAATAAGACATAGTGTTATCAATGTCATCATCCATGGAATTGGATATCTGCTGTAGTAGTGGGTCACAGTCACCAGACAGTAATGATCCAATAAGACATAGTGTTATCAATGTCATCATCCATGGAATTGGATATCTGCTGTAGTAGTGGGTCACAGTCACCAGACAGTAATGATCCAATAAGACATAGTGTTATCAATGTCATCATCCATGGAATTGGATATCTGCTGTAGTAGTGGGTCACAGTCACCAGACAGTAATGATCTAATAAGACATAGTGTTATCAATGTCATCATCCATGGAATTGGATATCTGCTGTAGTAGTGGGTCACAGTCAACAGACAGTAATGATCCAATAAGACAGTGTTTTCAATGCCATCGTTGTAGTGTGGGATTCAGAAGCTGGGAAACGAAAATTAAACTGTATCTAGCTTTAAATAAAGGATAAAGTCATTTCATTTTGTGGTTGCATTTGTCTCCATTCAACATTTGAACCAAATTATATAAACAACGTTATAAATTATGTTCTTCTTAGAAGTACAAAAATGTACACCGTTGTGAAACCTACGGATATTTACTGGGTTCCATTCAAAAGCCTAAACATTCTTTATTGATCAACTTAACACTTCATTACCTTTTCAACTTTTTAGCCAGAAACCCCTGTCCATTCTTCTCCAGACATCTACACAGACATTGAAATGCCCTCTCCTCTTTGGTTAGCAGAATATTGAGCAGAGTTCTTGTCTGTTCAGGGGACACATCACTAGCTGCTGCAGCTGCCTCCTTAGCCTCCTCTGTGTCCTCAGTAGATGGTTTTGAGCGTACATACTCCTTCTCTCTGTCTGTGATTATGTCTTCCTGTATCAGCTTGTCCAGAAGGTAACTTAGGCATGGGGTAGTAATAGTACTGACCAGTAGCTCTATGTGCTGTTTCAGGGCACGCTTTTGGTGGGGTTTCATGGCTGAGAAACCTATAAATGAATAATTGAGACGAGGGCATGAACAACATTGATAAAGTGAAGATTGGTGTTGATCAAAACAAAGAAATAATAAGGGGCGTTTTGAGTCATTCGGTTTCTTTACAATATAACTTTATACATATCTCTCTAAGGGTAGCTGTCATTTTAAACGCCGGTTTCTGATAAAACTAATGCCCGTATATTCATTGGGTTGGTGAATTGTAGCAGTAGGGCATGCTTTTGGAATAGACATCATTACTTGGACTGGGATAATATCAAAATATTTCTAATAATAATCTTACCTGGCATATAGGGATTTATTAAGTCTGCTGGAATCATATCTCCCGATTTCCAACATGGTACCCTGTCAACAGTCATGGATGGGGGCTGTTCAATCATTTCACCAGGGAACAGTGTTGGGGTCTC